TTTTTTTTTTTTTTTTTTTTTTTTTTTAAAGATGAAAATAGAAAATTAATTATTTCACTCAAATAAACAATATATATTAAGAAATAAAATAGTTTAGAGGGATTAGGTAAGGGATTCAACTTTTTTGTTGATGAAACCCAAAAATCCTTTCACTTTCCAACACACACAACCACCTCAATCTCTTGCATTTGCTTCCCTATAATATTTAACCCTTTATTTATTTATATATATAAAGTTTAATCTCCGATGAAAATTTATTAATTTTAATTTGTCACGAGTCTCTAAAGTGCTTCACTTCAAGATTAAGTATAGCCAACACAAAGAACAAGAAGCACTCTAGAAGGGTGACATGCAACAACAATATCTCTATTACAATTTTATAGTTGAATTAGTTAATGTGAAATCCCAGATGTTGGAGAGAGGAACAAAACATTTGTTGCAAGAGTGTGGAAACATCTCTGCTTTTTAAAAACCAGAGGAGAAATTTGGTGTAATGATATAAAATTGAATTTATGCATAATGAGGCCATCATTTGTTTTAATACTAAATCCTTCTCATTCTGTCCAAATTTGATATTTTATAATAAAGTTCTGATCATATATTATATAATCGATTATGAAGAAAGACAATCCCTCGGGGGCTGCAAAATCAAATTTGTAAGATCTTTGTCATCTAATTCACCATTAATGATTAAGAACACCCCTTACAGCTGGATCATCTTTTGCTGCAGTTTGAGCTTTTAAATTCCTCGCCAAAATACAATATGATAATAAAACCTGAATCTTAGGACCCACATTTTTATTCATTACTACACACTTATTTGTAAACTTTTTCATAATCATTTTTGGTCCCTTTTGAGCTTATTATTAAATGCTTTTATGAAATATTATTTATTAACAAAGTGGGTTATTGGTGACGATTATTTTACAACTGGTGTAGTTTGTTTAGCAAGCTTTAATAAACTAGTTGGAGATTGAGCATGTCTCTATAAATGTTTTATAATACCAATAATTATGAATTGAATTGAATCCTAGATCTGTTTCATTAATTAATTACAACAATAACCCTAATTTAATTTTACAAATCCATCTTTTATTAATACACAATACATTTGAACAAATACGTCCAAATGAGACATAGGTGAATCATGATCATGATGAATATAAATTTTATTTTATAATCATGTGATTAATGACCTATTGACTGTTTGAGCTAAAAAAATATTCTTTTCGTGTTAATTTATGTTATTATAAGGGGTTAATTTTGAAAAGAATGAAAAGGGTATGATTAGGGAATATGAATAATGATTAAGGTGAAAATATATGGTTGGGTAGGATGACGTGGCAGATGTATAATAATAATTGAGAGCAAGAAACATGACCATACATTATATTTAAAAAAAAAGGGGGGGAATAGAAGGAGGTGTCATTTGATAAAGAGATGTGGAAAGAATAAAAAATGAGGAAAATCTAAGACAATCGCTTTCAAGTTGTAGTCAAGAAAATATTAAAAAACAGATTAATTTATGAAGCTTCCCAGACTTGGTATAATATTATTATAAGTTTAAACCACATTATTAATGCACTCAAAATCTTAACGCAATCTCATCCAGCTATGCATCATTGCCTTCTTTTTTTTCTTTTTTTCTTTTTTTCCTTCAACCACTGCTTTAAAGGCTTCAAGTTTTCAGATCCCTTAGCTTAGCTTAGCTTAGCTTTGCTTCTCCTTTTAGTTCTTTTGGGAAACCCCTTTGGTTTTGGTTTTGGTTTGAGTTCGTGTCGTAATGGGGAGTGGTTATTTTGGGGAACCCGGTTTCGGGAATGAAAGAGGGAGTGGATTGTTGTCGTCGTCTTCTTCGTCGTCACCGTCGAGAAGAGGGAGGAAAGGAGGTTCTGATAAGCAGCCAAGGCAACCCCAAAGAGGGCTTGGAGTTGCTCAGCTTGAGAAGATCAGATTGCATGGTGAAATTGCTGCTTTTCATCCCACTTCTTACACCTTCAATAATGTAACTCTTTCTCTCTTCTTTCTTTTCTTTTACCTCGACTCAACTATGTTTAAGTTGACTGAATAATTATCGATTTAATCAGGATCAAGAGGTATCGAGAGTGCAAACGGGATATTCGTCGGTACCCTCGTCCACTTCTTCCTCACCCTCTTATGGCTTCCCGTCCAACGTTATGGTATGTAGTTTCGTTTGATGATTTTATAAGTTATTGATATTTTTGATTAATTGGGGTATGTTTAGATTATGAAGAGTGATTTCATGTATTAATTTCTTATGTGGGGGCTGTTAGGGCAAACCCTAGAGGGAGAAGCCTTTCTAGAATTTGAAACAAATTTAGGATCAATTTTCTTAAACTCTAATCAATATCGAATAAAAATGGGCTCTTCAAACTCTTTTCATCATAACAATTTATTTTGTTTACTTCTTTTCAGAACAATTTAATAAATTAAACTCATAATTAGTAAGAATTAAGCTTGTTAATCCACACAATTACTTGAAAAAGTATCCGTTGATGATGGTAATTAAGTAACTTTAAGTGATTAAGGATTGTATGTGATGGGCAATGCAGATGGGGTTTGGAGAATATGAAAGAAGAAACCTTAGAGATGGTGATTCTCAGTACAGCACAGCAGCAAGGTACTATATTCAATTAATTACATTGTTAATCAAGATATAGTTTTTACTTTACTTGATTAAATAACATTTATAGAAAAACTAAGCTGTTTATTGCTTGATTGGGGAACAGATGGGATCCAAGCAATGGTGGGATCTTAGAGGCTCAGCATTTTGCACAACCAAACATGCCATGTTATCTTCAAAATCCACAAGAAGAGGTAACTATGCTGCATTCTGAGCGTTTTTAT